ACTAACAGTATTTTGGTTAAATATTATAACAATGTTAAATTTTATCACAGCTTTTTAATTTATTTGTCTTTATTAACAAAATATTTTTTTATATACACATTAATTTCTTATGTTAAATAATTGTAAAATTGATACACAAAATTTGTGTTTGTATTATTTCTTATAAAATGAACAAATTTAAATATTATCTCGGAATAAATATTACACGATTGACACATTTTGTACTAACTCTAGTAAAAGATTTTGATGATATCAAATAATCGCATGTACAATTTACAATTGATAGACGGATCTGTTCATTGTTATAAACAATTAACAGAAATCACATGCTATATGTGATTGCATTCATACATTGTACATTGTATAAAACAGCGGAAATTTTACGAATTATTTATTTTGCTAATTGTATAAATTATAATAGTTGTTTATTATATTCGTAGTTTTCTCAGGTGTGAATTTGTCTGTGAATTTTTAATTTTCTAAAATGTAAATTAACTTCAAAGCCAGAGTAAGTTATTGGTGCTGATTACAACTTAAAAATGTTTACGAAGTATTTGATTACAACTTAAAAATATTCACAAAATATTTTGTAAACATTTTTAAGTTGTAATTAGTACATGCTTACGAAATATTCGTAAACATTTTTTAAAAATCAGCACCAACAATTTGTTCTGAAGTCCACTTACGCTTTTCGTTTTAAATTAGTTAAATTGAGCCTTATCAAATTAACGTTTTTTTGTTTGAGAAAGAAAAGCGCTTATTTTTGGTTTACTCGTATTGCATCAATAAAACTAGCAAAAAAAGTATAACAAATCGAAACCGAAAACAATATTATTATTACAATATAATAGAAGAGCGAATATTATTATTAGTTTTACTGATTGTGATAGGAGAATCAGTCTCGTAGCGATCAAATTTACAAGTATAAAAACACTTTTGTTTGTTTCGTATTTAAATATTTTTCACACAATCATGGTGGTCATCGTGATAAAAGGGCAAATTACGACTGACATTTCTATATACTCGGAACTTCGGCGGAAAATAGCGGCGCGTCTGACGCGGTGAATGTTGGCGATTTACCTTCTCGCGCAATTCTTAACGCTTGATGAACCGACACGGTGTCGAGTTCCTTTTGATTCGGCTTTTCGTTATCCAAACAGATATCGGCGGCCCTCTTACCGAACGGTTCCAACACTTTGACTCGGTAGTCTACGATCGTCGACACCGGATTGCCCGTCAGTCTCAGGTTTTCCAGGCAAGGTAAATGACCTATGTGTTTCACCTCTTCGATCTTCTCAATGCGATTGCAGCTCACGTCTAATCCCTCTAACGAGTACAACTTTGAGAAACTGGCGAGAGACGTTAATTTATTTTGCGACAGATCGATGTATACAATGTATCCGAGTTTGGTATGAAGGTCGTCCGGCAGACTGATAAAATTATTCGACGCTAGATACAATTGAGACAGTCTCGGTAATAATGTCACGTTGGAAATTTCGGACAAATGATTGTTGTTCAATGTCAGGCATTCAATGTGCGGTAACAGCTTAATTGCCTCATCGATAACTTCAATGCGATTATCGCTAAGATCCAAGTGCGTTACTTTTAACCACACGTGCGAATCATTCGCATTTTCGATATGCTTGTGAACTTCCTCGCACATGGCCAGTTCTACGATGTTTCTGAGTTTTGTATTCGTAACTTTTAACATGGTCACGGTATCTCGAAGATTCCCCATGTTGTAGATCTTGTCCATGGGATATCGATCGATTGTTAGATGTTGTATATTTTTAAAGGTAGATAATTCGATGGACAACGCAGACGAATAAATATTACTAGTTTTGTAAGGTTCCGAACTTCCCTCGATCATAAGACTAGTTAAATGAGAATTGAAATCCAAAACATGGCTAAAATCATATTTTTTATCCACGACTTCCAAAGATGGGCACGGTTGCTTTAATCTTTCACTGATCGCATAGAGCTGAAAATAAACGGACAACATTAGTATTTTCAGAATTAAAAAATGTTTGCTAATTAAAAATTACTTTTATTACCTGTATAGGATTAAATTTGTAGTTGGTGGAATTCTGCAGCAAGGTGTCACCTCTTGTAAAGAATTCCAAGGCCATACTTTGCAGTAGAAAGTAAATGTCGTATACATGTAGATCTAGAAATATGGCCAATTCTCTAGGCATCGCTTTCTTCAAATAATTATAAACAGCATTGAGATATATTTCCAAGCTCTGTCTGCGCTTCTCCACGAAAGCTTCGCACTTGTTGCCGATGAGTTTCTTTGGCGGTAGGATGTCCTTCTCGACGCAGTGCTCCGAAACGAGTTTCTCGTGCAACTCCGAGAATTCATTGTATCTAGAACGTAGTTGAGCGACATTTTCTTTCTTTCCTTGTTGAACAGTTTGACTGGTACGTTGATCGAATAGAAGTAAAGTGTAAAAATCTTTGCCATGTGGCGGAAATGAATACAATTGCCAATGTTACCTGTGCTTCACAGTCCACTTGATGGACGCGATTCCAACCTCAATGCAGTAATACGTAACCCCGTCGACTGTGTCAGCTGACGGTATTTTCAGGTTTACGTTCTCTTGATTCAGCAGCAAGCACGCCATGGCCAGGTCGTAATGCGCGGATCAGCTCGCTTATACGTGGCAAGTGATTTTTGCGTCCGTTATCGATAATCAGGGCGGCCGAGAGGTTATCCTCAAGTAATCGCAGCCTTCGTGTCGTAGGATAGCGCAACGCGGCGCATTTAGGGGCAGAGGCTGCGATTCCCGTGCATCGCAACTCCGCGCATACGCCACTTTCACACTTATCACCGTCGCTTCGACGTACTTCGCGATGATCGACGTTGTCTCGAAATGGGAGACAACGAATGTACGACACGATTACGCATCTTTGACAGCTACCAGACAGCAGAAAACAACATGCGTACGCTGCTTCCATCTCACGGCGAAAACATGCATAACTAGCTAGAGCAGAAGTTCCATCGTTGTATTTTTATTCGATCAATGTTGCAATATTGGAATTGAAAATAGTCTAACTTCAATTAGTTCGATCTTCGATCGCGAAAATATGGTGGAAAACGTTTTACATCGAACATCCTGTCGTTATTGCTCAGATTTCACGGTAAGCAGTTTTATTCGAATAATTTGCGACGTTTCTCTGATAACAAGAGAAGAGCGAGAAAGTTTTTCGTTTAGATTAAACGAACGATGCACGCAATAATGATTGTATATAGACTCTCTCAATGTGCCTTATCTTCGATAGATATATTTCATGTTTCTCCCAGCACAGAACCGTTTTCCGATATCCGTTTTGCACATTCGCGTATAATATATAGGTTATCTTTAAATAAAGTGACGATCACTTTGAAGAATACTGTCGCTCTTGAGTGAAATGACAGTTGTAAATCATTCTTGAGCGATGTTTCACAAGTTTGTCGTAGAAAGAAAATAAAGTTCTAACTCGTTTTGCGTATGACAGGACGAACGCTGTTCACGCGCCTCGCGTTTCTTAATCTTCCATCGTGGCTTCGGAGTGCTTGCGGATGTCATGTACGTTATCAGCTGACGTTTACATCGTGTTCTTTTCAACATGCTCTACTTATTTCCTGTCTCTTTCGATGGCCGATCTACCTTTTTATTCGCGCGAAAAACAAATTATGAATTCCTACAAAACATAAGAACGTCCTTGGATAGCACAGAATTTTTTGACAATATTTTACAAAGAAAAACGTATTAGAGTATTATATGAGTTTCTTAGAAGCCAAATTGATCAATTCCGTGAAATAAAAACCGAAAGAAATTATATAATCAATTTCTTAGCTACGGTTTATTATATTCTTTTCTCAATACGTAACATTTTGTCGAAGTAATAGAACAAAAAATTACAGCACTCATTACAGCATGGTAATATATTTAATTACAATTACAGTTAATCATGAATATTTTTTCTTCCAATTTTCTCCTCTCCTTTATTTTTCTTGCGCGATCACGTAAGCACGTGAGAAAGTAAAAAACAAAAGATACCACGCAATGCTCTTGATTCGTTGCCACATAGATCATTCTTTTGTTTGATGTTATCGGTTATAAAATTCCCTGCAAAATATGTTTTGTCCTTCATTCATTTTCTAACATGGTAACCGTGTGCGGCGTAGTGGAAAGACAAGGGAGAGCACAAGAGGGAAAGTGAAAAAGATGGAAAATTAGGAGAAAAAATGTGGATGTTTTTGATTGTTATTTGTGAGAAACTTGTGAAACAGTTGACGCGATATTCTCGATTATCGATAGTTTTGATAATGACCTGATTTTTCGCTGCGAGCAAAGAACCTTTCGCAATCGCGCTTTGCAGAGCGAATCGTGAGAATCCACTGGCTCGGTATTTCACCGTTGTTGATAAGCCACCCACTGAGAGAGAAAGAGAAAGAGAGAGGGAAAGAGAGAGGGAGAGAGAGAGAGAGAGAGAGCGAACGAACAGACGTACGACGTACAATCGTCGCGAAATATATGCGTATGACCCGAAAAACTGTGAGCGCGATTTTGCATATTTATTGTGCGACCGTAGATTGTGGAGGACGTACTATGTCTAGCAACGAAAGATCGCACTCTTTTTATTTAGTGCCAGGTAGGTTGTGCTGCCACGAAACGAGCTCGCTCGCTCATTCATGGCAGCTCTCATTGGCAACAACCTGTTGCCGCAGTGGCGTAACCGACATTTCCTACCTGAGGTACTATATCAAACAGAAACGGTTGATTACACCAGGATTAGCCCCGCAGAATATCCTGAAATTGGCGCGAGTAAATGTATAGAAATAGTCCTCTCTTCGAATAATTTCGAATTGATCTTTTTTTTTTTTTTTTTGAAATAAATATTGAAAAGTTAATTTTGCAGCTGTGAGTTATGAAAATTAACGATAAAGTGTAATTGATCGTTTCGATTTAAAGGGATCTTTAGCGTGAGAGAATTTAATTTAAGGCTTAATATTTTTTCTAAGATTTTCAACATTGAAAATTTGTCGAAAATGAGTATTTAAACTTTACACGTTATTAAACAAGTAATAACGCTACATATTATATTTTTATATCGAGAATATTACAATTCCGGATACATTCTTATTTTTTTAGCTTTAAAGTAAGAGTGTAAAATTGAATGCATGATTTCAGTATTTATGAATTATTACAAATTATGACGAATTATTACAAAAAGGTGTTCTATAGCTACACGCAAAAAGATGATGTAAGAATAATTTGACGAAAAATCTGCTTCACGCTGCTATACTGAGACATAGTTGCTAAACTACCGTCCACTTTGCAAAAAAGTTTAAGCATTAGAGTCTCCCGCGTTTCACAAAGATACTAATGGTGCCTCATGAGTCCCGTTAATTACGCCACTGCCGTGCTGGATGCTGTGTCAGGAGCAATGGCGGCTTACCTGGCTTACCTGGCTGGTCGCTTTGCCTTCTCTCCCCTCTTTTCCTCTCACCTTCATCGCGCGTTCCTCGGGGGCAAGCCGACGAACCTGTTGCCCGTTCTCATCCAGTATCGTGTCGGTTTCGTTCTTATGCGGTACGTGTTGCTTTCGCAGCGCGTGCGTGCGTCGCGCTCAGATGTGTCGTGCGTCTTCCTGCGTTTTAACGGGAAACCTGGTGGAAAAACGCTCCACGTGCTCCACGTGCGTGTACCGGAAAAAAAGGCCCGCGGTGGCCGCTAAGTGCGATCGGTGAGAGTTTCCTCGTCGCTTCCTCGAGACGCGTTGTGCGCGTCATCGCGAACGGCGTATGCGCTTTCCCTGCCGAGCGTTTCATCGATCGCAGCGGCTGCTCGTTCGATCTGTGCGATCGACGATTTTCGAAAAATCCTAGTGAAATTTAAACGATGAATGATATGTGTTGGATTCGTAGATTTTGTCGTTACTGATCGTGGGTTGTCTGTTTGTTCGAACGACAATTATTTCTAACTGTGCGAGTGATAAAATATACTTATTTCGACTTTTTCGAAGAATACTCTCGAAAAATTGGGAAATTGGGATTTAAGTGATGAAAATGCAGTGCTATTAGTGTCGACCGAGACGGTTTTTTAGATATTGTTACGAAAAATTTGGCAAAGAAAGCTGCTACTCGCAAAAAGGAATTCTAATTGAGCTTTAAACGCATTTGTGATGAGAAATAATTTGAGCCATAAGAGTTTAGTTAGCATTTGTTAAAAAGATCAATTTGTATCGCATGTACGTAAATTAAGTGCAGTGACACACAAGATGTTAGTGAATTGTGCCGATCGCGATTGGCAAAGATATTTTCAAAAGGCTATGCTCTAAAGGCAGTTTCTCGTCATTTCAAATTAAGAACGGTGAGTTTCACTATCAAGTCACGATAAATCCGTCAATTTTTTTCAAGATAGACGTATTAATCTATAGTTCTAAATATTTTTTCCACTCTCGAAGCAAAAATTGCGATTAATGGTATGATATTTCCATTTTTGAAACTTCTCGAACGACAGTCTACATCTAATAACACAGAAATACACTATCATTAATTGCGACGTGTGTAACTTTGATAATTACGCGACTGTTGTTATTGTTTACGCTGTGAAAGAATGGAAAAAAACGACACAACTTTCTGTAGATTTGTAAGGATACGCGTGAGATTTTGTAAGAATTACAAAGGTACGATCAACACGAGAAAAATGCGTGACGAAATGTCACATAACAAACTGCGCTATGGATTCATGACTCATAAGTATTCCGGAGAAACGAGTCGCGCAGGTAGATATTTCGGTCGTAGGCGTATTCTCGCATTCTTATTTCATCGTTGGTACCAACCGAAGAATAAAGCCATTTTGAGACCCTTGTAAAAAAGAGGAAATTATGTAAATGTAATTTTGGGTCGCACAACACAATTCAAACTGCTGGAATGTGCCGTAAAGTTGAAACAAATTAAAAAAATTCATGCATAATTCACATGTGACACTAATCATCGTTGAACGAAATTTGTCGGACTTAAGACAGCATTTGAAATTTTCTTAACAATAATTTTTAAAGATTATAAAAAAAAAAAATAATTTTTAACGTTATACATCTTATCGCCATAATATTTCATGTTCAAAGTTTTCGAATTTCTAGTGCACTTGTTCAGTTTACTTCGAAAGCAAAGATAAATTTTTTAAAGTTGAAAAGTATCTGGTTATGATAGGAAAAAGCAAAGAATTAAAAGATAACAATTTATCTAGCACTTGATTGCACAGATATAATCTTCCCTTGCTGCACCGACACAACATGTTTATTATTTCAAAAGGATTTTTATTCGCGCAATTTTCTCAATTCCTGAAAATTGATTTCGCAATTGTTCTTTTCTTTCACACTCGTATAATTTGGAGGCTCAAGTATAACTTGCGAGAACTGTTAGCTAAAGTAACCGCGCGTACACATATGCCCACCAGAACAGTGCCCTTCTGTGGCATTAAACTTAATATCGTCGTCTTTCTTGCAGCACGCCGTTTCCGATTACGTACTTGGAACGAGGCGGAGGGACGAAGACGGAGTGGACAGCACAGGCGGACGAGAGAACGGAGGATGCTGGATGCCGTGAGATCGTTCGTCGAAGCAATAGCTGAGATCGCAGCTGAGGTGAGTGTCCGCTCTTTCTACTCGGAATGTTGCGTTGTTTCTCATCTACCGCATTGAGGAACGAAGAAGCTCTTCCCATCCGATTAGAGCTCGGCAATACCCGATAATTCGTCGTTGTTATCTGCCGGGAAAATCAATTGGAAAGCATTGTTAAGAAATAACTCGCGCTGTTTGAATGAGCACGAAGCTCGTCGTTTTCGTGAAAGTCCATTCATCTTCTGTAAGTCATCGTTTAATCTAAATTAAATTTCATCGAGCTTTGATCGAGCGGTCTGGAAGAATCTTCCGGTCGCTTTCTTCGTTTCTCATCGGAGAATACAACGAAGGGCACTGCACGCGAGCTCATTTCGCAGTTTACCGATTTCTCAGCGCCGCAGAATTTGATCAAGCAAAGTGCAGTTGAGCTTTGCGGAAAATAATCTAATTAGGTATGTCGAACGTGGCGATGGTCGAGTGAAGTGTAATTTACACTCCGATGCACTAAATGTCATAGA